TGCCAGAGCACGGCGCGAGCCGAGCAGCCGCCCACCGCACCACGGGTCTTGGATGGATAGGCGAAGCTTCATACCACGGGAAGTGCAGACCTGCAGCAGAGTCACTAGATCTGAACCACCGGACGGTGGAGGCGTTGGCTTCTCGCTCCTGCCATGAGGCGGAGGGCGCCGATGTTCGGCAGTAGCTGCCGGCTCACCTGGTGTGGTGGCAGCCCCGCCGCGGGGCGCACCAGCTGTGGCCCCGGCCGGGCTGCAGGCTGCTGACCTGTCGATCCGGCCGCCCCTGCCAGGCGGCTGTCACTGGCGGCTCTTCACCGACGCTGCAGAGCGCGCTGCTCCGCGCAGGAGCACCGCCGTGCCAGCGCGTGCTGCAGCGTCGGGCTGGCCAGCTCTCCACAGACGCGCGCCCTCGACTCGACGGGCGTCTCACTGGCGCTGCACTCACTAGAACACAGCCTCCACCGCATGCGACTTCTGTCGTCCGCTCTCAGGCCTCGTATCAATGCTCGTTCGAGGCCGGAAGCTGCTAGCTTTGTGAACATATGTACGATTTTGCAGACAAGGGTACTCGGTTTGACACTCAACATATTTGTACGGTTGAGCATTCGATTGTAAGCGAGTTGACCGATACCATAAGTCGGCGACGTACGGTTTCAGTCATTTGATGAGATCACTCTCGGGCCATAAGAAGCACCGATTCTGTCCGGAATTGGCCGGTCTCCCGCCGTGCCAACATCACCTGCATAAACAGGTGGGCGTGACCGGCCTGCCCGGACGCCACGCACCCCGCCGGCTGTCTTCCAGTCCCGCCCCACTGGTCATCGGCACTGCTGGCGCCTTTTCGTCTGGCTCGGGTGCGCCGATCCATGGACGAGAGCCGTCTGCCGCGGCGGCCACGCCCCACTCACTCGTGCGCCACCGTAATCACTCATTTGCATGCGCGCCACCTTGGCCGGCCGGCGGCGGCCGGCGCGGACGTGCTGGCGGCGGCGGGCGCGCGCGGGCGCGTGACGAGGGCCGCCGCCAGGTGACACCGGCAGAATGCCAAACCTCAATCGGGATTCACGGCTGGCGCGCGGCCGGCAAGGCCGCCCCGCCGCCACCAAACGCTAATCACGTCTGGCCCGGTGATTCGCTGGCGTGGTCGGGTGTCGGCGCGGACAGAGGGCGGCCAGAGCGCGTGCTGGTGCTGTGCTGGGGCGTGTTGTGACAGGGGCCCGGTAATTAGCGCGCCGGCACGCCGTGCCGGCGACCAGCTAATTTATCGGCTATCCGTGAATTAATTGCCCGTTTCTGGGAAGGGCTCATTCGTGGATTGCACGCATGTTAATAGCTGCAAAGCACGAGGGGCAATTCGTTGCAGTTGGATGACAATTGAATAGCGCCGGGTGTCGGTGGTGCGGTTTATCACTCCTCGTATCAGACGAAGCACAGTGGAATTGCTCTTTCGTGACCGGAGGTAAATGGATCAAGGGAATTCTGACCGGCAGGTGTTACCTGATCAACCTGCTTGTAACGACGATTGGTGGCCCAGTTCAGGGTGTGACATTTACCTTCCGTAATGATTTCTCGCTTCAAGTGGACAGATAGACTGGCCAATTCAGCGCTCTCTGGGGGTGCCGACGGCGTAGCGGTTGACCCGTCTGCGTTCACCGCTGCGCGTCTGGAAGACCAAAGGTACAGGTTCGATTTCCTGCGATGCCCGCCCTTCCTGTCATGGGGAGAGGCAGACGGCGCCATATAGCCTCAGTGGCTGCGTGCGTCGTCAAGGAACAATGACAACGGCTCGCTGTTCTCGCGGACCATGATCTCGGCCATGCGGCCAAGCCGGAGCCTCAGACGGAGGAACGGCAAGGGGAAGGGGAGGGACGAAACCAGGCCTCCCAGCCGCCGGGATGCACCAATCTCGTGTCGCCGCAGCCGGGCCTCCCAGCCGCCGGGATGCACCGATCTCGTGTCCCCGCGCCACCTCTCCGGCGGCCGCGCCGGGAATGCCGTCGCGCAGCTTTTTGCGCGGCTGCTCGCTGGAGCGCGGCGGCCACTTTTTCCGGGCCACATTACCTTCCACTATCTGCACATCCATGCTGTAAATTATGATAAAGCATGTTTCATTAAATGTTTTCTTCGCCGCCAGTTGTCGCGGCAGATGACTGTTGATAGCGTACTTCCTTCCTGCGCTTCGTGGAGGCCGGGCCAAAAACGGCCTCGTGCTGATCCCCAGTCGGCGTCGCCAGACGCCGGGGCCCGGCAAAAAACGGACGTTCGGCCACTTGCCTGGTACGCCTGCCCCGCTCACCGGAGATGACGCGGCATGTCTGATTTCTGGTCAGGACACCACTGGCGAATCCCAGCACCCACCAGGACTCATCCAAGCCCACACCGCCCAGATCACACATGCAGTCTGTGTGCCGCAATCCTCATCGCCTGCTTAGGTGCGCGACCGCCTGTTTTTCAGTCTGTGCGTATGGTTTGATGTCCGTTGTCTTTTTTATATCGCTTCCTCTGCCTGATTTTTATCTCCTCCTCCTCTCTACGTACCTCTTCCATCCCTCCAGACTGGTGCTCCATCTGTCTTTTCTCTCCCCGCCCCTCTATTCTCTCCTCTCATCCTTGTCCTCACCTCGGTGTATCCATCAATGGCCATGAGTGGCAAGAAGCACCAGCCACTCGGTTCCACTTGAGCGCGGCCAGAGCGCGGCCACCGCCGCTCGTCTCTGGGCCCGACAGGACGCGTTGTGGTCCGGGCCGACGGGCCGACCGGCGCTGGGCCGCCGCCGCCCGCGCCGCCGCCCCAGCCAGCGCCGAGAGCAGGCAGCGTCCGCCGGAGACGCCCCGCGTTGGCGTAACCCAACAGACTGGAGTCTGGCCGGTCTCGCCGCGTCGGCCGCGTCCGCCCCTAGTCCAAACAGCGGCGGCTGACGGCCCGACCATTGTTTGAATCACGCCGGCCGCACCGCGCACTGTATAATGGATCAGACGCCGCTCCGGGATTTCCATTCATTTTCCGGCCCCTCGCGACCGCCGTCCACAACACCGTCCCTTGCGACCGCCGTCCACATCACCGTCCCTCGCGGCCACCGTCCACAACGCCGTACCTCGCGACCGCCGTCCACATCACCGTCCCTCGCGGCCATCGTCCACAACGCCGTACCTCGCGACCGCCGTCCACAACGCCCACGCGACCGCCGTCCACAACGCCGTGCCTCGCGACCGTCGTCCACAATGCCGTCCCCACGCGACCGCCGTCCACATCACCGCTCCCCGTGACTGTCGCCGTCCACAACGCTTCACGTCAAAACCTGGAATCCCTCAACTCAGAGCATTTCAACAGTAGCGTGTGGTGTGGAGACACCCCGAAGTCACAACCTATCTGTAAAACTGTAAAACTAGCCGAGAAATCGGCGCGAAAATTAACTGCAACGTGAAAGGGAGCGGCAACGCCCAAGGCTGTCGCTGCGTGAAAGTGGCCTGAATGGGAGCACCAGTAGCCAACAGCTCTTGCGTGGAAGAACGTATCTCTGCAGGAACGTGCTTGATGGGCCAGGGCTTAGTTTATTACGGTAATTGCGTGGTATATTTTAACCAGAGAGGGCGATTACGATCAGCTCTTATCTAGAAGGCATGTGTGCAAAAATGTCTTCTTCGTGGAGCCAGTCCACACATCGCCCTAAACTCATGAGCGTAATTGGCAGCACAGCTAATGCAGTAGTTTAGCGCTCTCCAGGCACATCACGCCACTGTTCAGGCCGGCGCGGACGTTAAGCACGCTGCAGCCAGATGCCCTCCCGAGAGAGGCCGGTCCTGCCGGCACGTCCGGCCAGCGGCGTGACCGCGTCCAACCGGGCGTGGCGCTCGGCGGCACGCCCCCCTCCCCCCGCCCCCCCCCACCGGCCGGCATTGTGTCGGCCGACGCCAGGCTGCTCTCCTGTCGTCAACCCGATGCCGCCCGGGCACGCCGCAGCGCCCAGCCTCCAACGGACGACTTCGGGGACATCGGCGCCGAGCGCGGCGCGGGTGCCGCTCGCGGCGCGGCCGGGACGAGTGTACCGCCCGCAGCCGATCGGACCGTTATCGGCGGAGGCCTGCACGCGGTCATCCGCTGGCAACAATCGCCGCAGGCCCTCGCCGCCGTTGCCAACCCTCCCAGAAATTATATGCTAATTCAGCTCATTTTTTGTAATAGCGAAAACCCAGGGTGACGTGGATTTAGTGTTTATTGTGGCGCGTGTTGACGGGCCATGAGCGGCGGGCATCGCTGGCGGCGCGATCGGCTTGATCATAGGCGGCCGAGCTCACCTGAGGAGGCAGGCTGCTGAGGCCGACCGGACGGCCTGTGGTGGGCGCCGCTGCCCCGGCCCCGCTCAGGGCGTGGAGGGATGTGGAGACTGTAGCGACTGCTCCCCCGGCCCCGCCTCAGGGGCGCAGAAGAGACAGGGGACTACCGGACCGCTGCCTCGGCCCCGCTCAGGGGCGCAGGGGGACGGAGGACTTCGGAACCTGCTGGGGACGGAGGAATGCTGATCCGCTGCCCGGCCCCGCTTAGGGGGCGCAGAGGGACAGGGGACTGCCCGGATCACTATCTTGGCTCCGCTCAGAGGAGTGGAGGGACGGAGGGCGGCCGCAGCTCCAGTTGGAGTTCCCTGACCTGTCTCAAGCTGCATCAGCTCACTGTTGACGTCTCCACCCTACAACTGAGGCTGCCCAATTCTATCAAACTGACACCTGCCCTCTGAAACTGAACTTAGCACAGCTGTAGTTTCTAGACTGAAATGTACCATATAGTCGCGAGTCTCCCGGAACTGAATAGAGCGTCACACGCGAGCTCAGAAGCTGAATGCACAATGCAAAGACTAGTTCTGTCACACGGCCGCCGTCCGCCACACCGAATGTGCCGCGCCCGGCACGACGTTAGATGATGTTTGTCGCACAGATGCGAGCACAGAGACGCACATGCAGTCGGCCTACAGCTCAGCAGCCTCACAGTGTCACTCTGTTTGCAGATTACACTGGTCTCCAGAGATGATGCAGCCGGCGCAGTCAGGGTAAGTACCCCGAGGCTCAGGTCATACGCCGTTGTCCGTCGCTGCGCCACTGCTGTCTCACGCGCTTCAGCCCCGGCTGCAGGCCGCCGGCTGAGGCACGCCCACGCTGGCACGTCTCTGTTTTCGCCTACGCTGGGGAGCGGAGCACGTGCGCGTCCGGGGAGCTGTGATTGGTGGCGTCGCGCAGGAGCAGGGCGGCTGGCCGTCTGCCGCGCCGGCCAGCGTGCCCCGGGCCCCGCCGGCCGTGGCCGGGGCACGGCACAATCTCCGACATATCGCCGCACGGCCAACGAACGCGTCGGTGCGCCGCATATGTCAGCAGGCATTTGCATGTGGCAGGTGACCAGGGCCATTCAAACACATAACCCGTGCGGCGGCCGCGCCGGTTATCAGACGGTATCGGCGGAACGCCGGTGCTGGCCGCGGCTGGCGTTGCAGTCTCCGGGCGCGGCGGGCCGGTCTACCGCCGCGGCGACTGCGGCCGTGCGCTGACAGTACCACCATTCAGGACGACTTACTCACGGCGACGACAGGCCAATGGAACATTAATTAAGCCGGGCCGCGGGAGCTCTTAGAAGTGCCGATTGATAACATCTCCAGCTGCAGTGTTACACATAATGCTTTGAGGTAGCCGTCATGCGAGTTTCTCGCAATGCAGCAGGATTTAGGGATGCATTATGATGGTGCTCGAACATGATTTCTTGGAATTGGCTCATTCGACCATTGAGCAAGTTTATGGACAAAATTCTTAGGGTTCTGATACATCTCGCTTGACCACTTTTACCGCCCATGAACAATTCCAGACTTTCAAATGTTTGGACGCCTTTGTCCCTGTTTGACTAAGGTGTTTTACCGCATGACTTTCAACTTCCATGAAAAGAAAACACACCAAGAGTGATTGGATCATTTACGTGTAAGCGGACCTATTTCATTCGTTTGCCTAGGCCTGCAGAGGGCCATGACTGGTGTGCCCACTGCCGGCACACACGCGTCGGCGGGCGGAGAGCGCGGCCGTCCGGCCGGCCCGGCTCTCCGTGTCATCCCGGCGGCCCGGCGCCTCCCGCTTCAGAGGCGCGCCGCCGTGTGATTTCGGCACGGCCGCCGCTCATTCCCAGTCACGTCGGGCGGCACGGGCCGCCCCCGAAATGGACCAATTGGCCGGCCCGGTGCCGCGCGCGCCGCGGCGCCACCATCAGTATTCTGGCCGACGCGACACACATCATTGCGGGCAATTAAATTATCGGGCACGACCAGTGACGTCACATCTCAGGCAGGCATGAATGAGTCGGGCGGCGGGCTGGCCGTTGTTTACGCTGCACCGCGGATACCTGGCGGTCGAGCCAGCTTGTCGGTAACTTGCCCCCCCCCCCCCCCCCCGCCCTCCCTCACCCCACATACTACGGGCTGCGGAGAGACTGCACATTAGCGATGTCGCCGCGGCCGGGTCGCTTGGCCGCGACATAGCGCGCGGCGCGTGGTGTTGGTACATCGGGGGACGCAGCCTCTGGTGTCGGTACATCGGGGACGCAACCTCCGGTGTCGGTACATCGGGGACGCAGCCTCTGGTGTCGGTACATCGGGGACGCAGCCTCTGGTGTCGGTACATCGGGGGACGCAGCCTCTGGTGTCGGTACATCGGGGACGCAGCCTCTGGTGTCGGTACATCGGGGGACGCAGCTCCGGTGTCGGTACATCGGGGACCGCAGCTCTGGTGTCGGTACATAGGGACGCAGCCTCTGGTGTCGGTTACACCGGGGGACGCAGCCTCTGGTGTCGGTTACTCGGGGACGCGGCCTTCTGGTGTCGGTACATCGGGGACGCGGCCTCTGGTGGCGGTACATCGGGGACGCGGCCTCTGGTGTCGGTACATCGGGGACGCGGCCTCTGGTGGCGGTACGCCAGGGACGCAGCCTCTCGTGTCGGTACAACAGGGACGCGGCGCGGCCGTCGGCTCCTCTGCCAGCTGCTGCAGGGACGCGGCAGAGCGCCGACCCGCTGCATGCCGTGCCGCCATGCGGCATTGTCAGACATGGCGGGAGGCGTTCTCTGGGCGCGGCTCCCTCCTGCGTCGGCCCATCACCGGCCTGGTGTTAAAGGTGAGCCCATGCATGCATAAACGGTTTGTTAATGCGCAGGGTGTTCACGGCAGTGAATTGCGCCCGTGGGCCATCCGGCGTGCACGGCTGTCCTTGGCAGAAGACTGCAAACACTTTGGTGGTTCCACGCGGACACCCCGGCCTGCGAGTGTCCTGCGTCGGGGAGTGTCCTGCGTCGGGGAGTGGTCCGCGCCGGGGAGTGTCCTGCGCGGGGAGTGTCCTGCGTCGGGGAGTGTCCTGCGTCGGGGAGTGTCCTGCGTCGGGGAGTGTCCTGCGTCGGGGAGTGTCCTGCGTCGGGGAGTGTCCTGCGTCGGGGAGTGTCCGCGTCGGGGAGTGTCCGCGTCGGAGAGTGCCCGACGCTACGGACACACGGCACCTGGGAGTGCTCGGTGCCTGGTTGTACTCGGCGCCTGCGAGTGTCCGCCACCTGACAGTGCCCGGCGTTACGAACACGCGGTACCTGGGAGTGCTCAGCACCCGGGAGTGCTCAGCGCCTGGGAGTGCCCGGCGCGTGGGAGTGTCTGGCGGCTGGGGATATCTGACGTCTCGGAACCCGGTGCTTATGAGCGTCCGGCGCCTCGGACACGCGACGCCTGGTACGCCCAGCGCCTCGGACACGCGACGCCTGGTACACCTGGCGCCTGAGAGAGCCTGGCGTCTCAGGAATCCGGCGCCTGGGAGTACCCGGCGTCTCAGGAACTCGGTGCTTGTGAGTGTCCGGCGCCCCGGACCACACGACGCCTGGGACACCTGGCGCCTGAGAGACCCCGGTTGTCTCAGGAATCCGGCGCCTCGGACACACGGCACCTGGGAGTGCTCGGCGCCTGGGAGTGCCCAGCGCATGGGAGACCCCAGCGCCTGGGAGTGCTAGAGGCTGGGGAGTGACTGGCGTTTTGGGAACCCGGCGCCTCGGGCACACGACGCCTGGGACACCCGGCGCCTCGGACACACGACGCCTCGGACAATCGGCGCCTGGGGCACCTGGCGCCTGAGAGAGCCCGGCATCTCGGGAACCCGGCGCCTCGGACGTGCGGCAACTGGGAGTGCTCGGCGCTTGGGAGTGCCCAGCACATGGGAGACCCCGGCGCCTGGGAGTGCCCGCTGCGGCGCATACAGCGGCCCGGTACGCAAACACACGAAACAGCGGACATCCTAAAATGCAAACAACGCTAAACAAAGCGGCCAATTAAACACGACCGCGTGGTATGTGCTGTGGCGCGGTGCCCGACCGGAGCCCAGAAGCTGTCCGTGGGCGGACACGGCTGGTGGCGCATGGCAGCTGTCGGTGGCCGACCGGTGCTGGTGGCCAGCCGCCGCCGGGAGGTGCCGGCCGCCATCAGTCAGCGCACCCGTGTATCGTGTTGCTCTTATCTAGCCGGCCGGGGAGGTTTTTACACGGCTTACCGGGTTTTTCTCGCCCGGCGGAGAAAAACGTGCGCTCGGAGGGTACCATTGAAGAAGGGCCGGCGCCGGGGGTCGATGGCGGAGGCTGTCCTGCCCGGCTGTGCCCCAGTCGGCCGCTTCATCACTACAAAAGGCCAAAGGGTGAGGGCAGAGGCGGCACTCTGCGTACCTGCGGCCCACTCGCCGGACAAAAACGGACGCTGCTCTCGGTGGCCTTCCTCCGGGACGGTGTCGTCTGCCTGTCCGGATAGACGGGCACAACCTCCCTGTGAGACGCACCCAGTGACCTCTCACCACCAGCAGCTCAGTATCTCACGCTGCACTGGTGTGGCCCCGAATCATCTGTCTGTGGCGCATCAAAGCTGGCCTGCGCGTGCAGATGCGCGTGCAGACCAGGCTTTGCAAACAGCTGTTTGTCGCCCACATAAATCATGTCGTAATCAGCACGGTATGCTGTGCTGCTGAGGACCCGTGCCGTGCTGACCCGTGCGACCCAGTGAGTTGTACAATTACGCCATCATTTCCGCGGTTGGTGCAGTCTCCAGCATGCGGCACGGGCTTCTCGCGAGTGGCTGTCGTAGAGTGCGCCGGCGCGTCCTCGCGTGATCGCCGGAGTAAGCGGCCGGGCCGCGGGCTGGCGCCGACGCCGGCCAGCGGTGCCGCCCGACGCTGCCCAGCTCAGTCGCCCCTGCGCACGTCTATCGCGAATGCCGATCGCCCCACACAATGGGACAAAAATAGTGATGATGCCTATCCTAGGGGACTCGCAGGAAAATGAGCGCCGCTATCTGATTTGGAGACGCAGGAATTCAACGTGATGTACGATTATCGGCGAAGCGGTGCGCTCCCGCGCGCTCTCTCTCTCTCTCCGGCGCTCCGGAGCGGCTCGCGCCCGCCTCCAAAAGCAGGGCGCGGCACCTATTGTTTTCGGCCGTGCGAGTCGGACGAATCGCTTACGTCTCCGAATCGGCTGCGAGCAAGGCCATTACGGCCAACAAATGCCTCCGCTCCACCTTATTGGTTATTCACTGGAGTACTCCACAAACATCTGTGGGTTGGCTGTGTTTTCTGGGCGGCCGGCCGGACGGTGGCGGCGGGCGCTCCACTCGGCGGAGCTCGGCGTGGGGGGCGGCGCCCGTGTAAACAAATGAGCGTGTCGGACGTCCAAAACGCGGGCAATGGATCATAATTGGCGTCGACCGCGGTCACTGATACATGCCCCACTCTCACCCTCCTCCGCACGCGTGATGGACGACAGCCGGTCCGCTGATCTATGGGCGCTTATTAAGATCTCAAACTGGAGCGTGTCAGTAAATCTTTTTATGGCCGCCCGGGGCCAGCACGCAACTGTGCTAATGTGGCGCCGGCGACGCACCACGTTTGGCGGTCTCCGCCTTCAATGCGTCGGATGTTGGCAGAAATCGTATGCAAATTCAGGCATAAACAAACAGATACCCGCCTGTCTTTCTAGCAGCTCATCCGTCACGTAAGCAAACGAGA